ATATTAGCAGAATCATATGCCAGTATATAGATGATCCAAAAAAAGCATCTAAAATTATTGATAAACATTTAAGAGATTGAAATTTTGTAGTTTTTGATTTTACTAAAGCAGTAGACGATCCTTTAAGTATACAGCTTAGTTAGGACGTACCCCTGAAATTAGATGAATAGAACAAGCTTTGGCCATGCCAGCTCTGCTGAATATTTGAATAATTATTTTTTTTTGTTATTTGTTAATGAAGTTATATAATTCATCCTATTTGCCACTTCTTATAATATTAAGAAAATGCACGTCTCTAGCCTATGTTAAAATTGGGGTGAATATAAAAATAACAAACTCGATATATTATCTGTAATAGAGATTTTTGTGTCCTATAAAATGTGCTCACATATGAAAAAAAATGTTACCAGCTTTCCTTTAGAAAAGATAACAAAATAAAGTCTAAAGTACTAGCTCTCAGGAATACTTTAGGTTGTTTTATTTTAAATAGATATATATATGAATAAGTTATATAATTAATAAATTGAATAAATAGATTAAATCAAATAAATAAATATATGAATTGCTTTGCAGACATAGTCTATATATTGTTAATTTAGCGTATTTCCTCTCAAATTTCCTATAAGAGTTTATAATGTTGAGCAAGTTCTGTTACACACATACCTTCAGGTCTGTAGAAATACTCTAGCCATTTCCTCTGTATAGTTGTACATGCTCGGATCTTTTTTGCTATTTCTTGAATATGTTTAACTCTATTGATAAGATTCTCTATTCATAATTCATATTGATAAATAGCTAACCTTGTATAAATATCACTTTCAACTTCTGGTTTTTGTTTAAGCTCTATATACTCTTTGAAATATATATCACAATATCTATTTTTAGTACAATTTGTACGCCAATATTCCTCTATCTTATAATTGTAATATAATTCATATCCTACTCTTTTATTAACATAAACAAACTGATTACAGCTATAATATATAGCAATATTCACTTTAACAGCCATACGATAACTAAATCCTTCTGTAGATTCCATCTTTCTAGCAATAAGATATTACTTATTGTAATCAGTCAATTTATTGTTATTTCTATAATTTACTAATTGATTCCAGATTCAGTTCTTCTAATTAGATAGTGTTTCCCTATCACGAATTACTAGAAATTGGCAGTTATTTCTCTACTCGATATCATTTAAAACTAAACAATTATCTGTATAGACCATATTTAATGATTAAGTAATTTAATGTATTATAGTGTTTTTAGAGATTATATGATTTATATCATATTTAGAGATTTAGACCTATTTGATTTAATAACTATATACTAATGAATATCGCAATTCATTTTTTGTATGAATTGGGTTATTAGATAAGTTTTATATATTCATCATATTTTGCGAATGACATATATAATGAGAATGGAAGAAATGCATATTTGGTTGTAGTGAGAATCATAAACTTATATTAGCAGAATTATGTAAAAACTACATATTTGGAGAAGACAAGAATTTATTTATTGAATTTTAAATATACAGTACATTATATATTTATATATAATACAATAAAAATATATTATATTTCTACTAATTACTTATAAATCTGAAAGTAGATCTTCTGCCCTCAACCCATACCTAGCATGTACCAAAGAAATATGACCCCTTCTACAATCTGTTGATAAAGGAGGAATTGTTATTTAATTTTTTTTCGGCTTAAAAAACGTAGTTCTGAAATTCAATCCTTGAGCATTATTAATAGATATGATTTCACATTTTGTACTACCAGTAGTACATTTTATAAAATTCATAAAGAGCTCAAAAACCAACTAATTTGAAAAATATTTTATTAAAAGATTTAATAAAACTAATTTTATACATTAGTGATATTTTTTTTTGATTTTAATTATATAATATAAAATTATATAATTTTAAACACACAACATAATTTTGCAAAAAAGGTGTACTACATGTAGTACACTATTTAAAGCTACTTCACAGCTTACTAAAAAAAGATTATTAGTAGCACCTTTAGAATATAGTAAAATAAGTATCAAAGAATCTATACCAAAGTTTTTTTTACCTTGTTTCAACAGCAATATACATATCACGAATATGATCAGCTCAGCAGTTTGTGCATAAAGCCCGTGTGATTATACAGGTGCAGCAAGTAGTCGCACGTTTATGACAATTTAAACAACGCCATTGCATACGTTTTCCTTTTAACTTTTTGGTTACAGGATCACATTTAAGACTAACAAGATGATGTTCAATAATATTTATATCCTTTTTATTGTGCCTTTGCCTTTTTCTAGCCTGTTCCGCAACAGGTTTATCAGAATAGTAATCAAATATTGAATTTACTAGTTGCTTATGAAAATCTACATGTTTCAGATTTTTTTTACCCAGAACAAACTGACAATACGCAGAATAACTATTTGCTTCTGCGACTGACAAATAAAAGGCCAGAATACGATTTGTAGAACATTTATTTGAAAGAATATCGTGATAAGAAAGAGCATTATCACGCAGATTGTTAAGTATGTCTACAGCTGATCTGTATTCATTATATTCATCAAAAAGAGCAGGTCGTATAAATTTTACATTACCATATCCTTTAATATATCTTTTTACTTCACTTTTCGAACTTGTTGTTGAGCAACTACTAAGTAATATAATATCTTTACGGTCACGAAGAGAACATAGTATAAGATCAACATCATCAAACTTTCCTGTTTGACTATTAAATGATCCATACTGACTTCCAAGAACATCTGTAATATCAGAAGGAATATTTTTTGGCCAATAACGACGTTTCTTTAATTGTAAAATAGAATAAAATCCATGCTTATACAAAGTAACACACGCATTTATACTACCAAACCATGAGTCTGCAATAATTGTTCTACCACTATGAAACTATGGCTCAGTTAATCGCAACATCGTTGCAACTGTTACCATATAATGATCTAAAAATTTTTTTTTTATAGCAAATTCAGGGAGCTCTACAGGATCCAATTGCAAGAACAAATTAGCTCGAGCATCTGCTACAGCTTTGAATTCACAACCGATTAGATGAGGCTTTCTTAGAATTTTTCGTTGAAAGGGTCCTTTATCGATTTTATCCATCCATTGGCACATTGATTCGTCAATGCATAAGTAATTTCCAGGTGTAATAGCATGACTAAGGTTTTCATTAAACGCATTATGAAATTGGTGGGCAAAATGAAATGGATCATTATCCATTGGTATATCAGTAAGTATTATGTATTTGATGATGTCTCGGAACCTTCTATGTGACATATATTGTCCAAATGACAACGATACATCAGATGTTTCTTGTCTAGTGGACCAATAATCTGAAATATCTGCACATTGAACATAAGTCATTATTGTTAGAATACCAATAAAATGCATGAATTCCATCCATGTTAAATCTTTCCAGAGTCGTTCACTCATGTGTGCATATTTATTGGTGGCTGGTATTATAGTTGACATAATATATTCAATTGGTAAAAAACGTTCGAAGAATTGTCTAGGAGATGCATATACAATATCAGAAATATGCACTGTTGGTGCTTGAGAATAAGAATGATATACTTAACGAGAATCAACCATAACAGTTGCATTTTTCCAAAAAATCTCATCCCTCCCACCCCTATTACTAACGTTTATTTCTTCATTCGCACTAAGCTCACTATTGCTTGAGATATCAGTCTCAGCTTCACTAATAGCTAATTCCTCTGCTACATTATTGTCCTGATCATTATTATCATTATTATTATTAGTAACTGCAGAAGCAGCTACTAACTTCATACGGCCTGCTGATACTTCAATTTCTGTCTCTAGACTATCGTCAAGACTAAGAACCCAACGATTAGTACCACTTGCTGCCTGTAAAATTGTTGCGGAGAGTCGTTTGGTTTTCCATATAGCTCCTAGAAGTGGATGAGCAATATTGTTGCCTACAACTGATCCCAAAATAGTGACCTTACTTCCTTCTTTAATATTAGACGAAATGCGTCCCATATTCAATAATAACAAAATATTTTGGTTGAAAAAAAAAAAATATATATATATATATATATATAATATATATATATGAAAAAAAAAGGCCTTAGATTATTCGTCGTGATGTTTTTATAGGCTTTGTTGGCTTGTCGAATAAATAATGTCAATATTTTAGCACAGTTCTCTTTGATTACACACTTTTTTAACTTTTTTTTTTTATCTCTTCGTATATATGAGAAAAATTTATCAAAAAAAAAAAAGAAAAAATTGGTGAGAAAAGCTCATCTACGTTTCTGAGCTCTTGCCTATTTACTACTATTCATTGATTTTATTATTTTAACCATTTTAACTAACGACAAGTGCATATAATTGGAATTGATATGCATAACACTATACTATTTTAATACCAATAATTTAAACTCAGCCACATGTGAATTACCTGCACAAAGTATATACTGTAACTAGTTATACATAACAAACTAGTTAATAAAAAGATAATTTTATGATATGAAGTCAGGCAGCTTTTTTGATTGGTAGATAAATGGTTTTAAAAAGTGTCACAATGTAGTACAATGTACTATCAGTAGTACAGTGAAATCATATCCATTAAGATTTTGATGTTTAATGAAAAGAACATCATGCCTATCAACATTTTCTCAATACCATCCTTCAAATTATCGTATACATCATCAAATTTCCGTAGATTATGAAAAAAGGTATCATGTACAAAGTATACAATACTATGACAAATACTTTTTGTAAGTGGAAAATTACCGTGTAGTAGAAGATGCAAGGAAAATGCTACAACTTGTCTAGGCCAAAGCAGTACAATGATCTGAAGTTGAGAGAAACATAATTCTCTTCCCTCAAATTCTTTGAGAGTGACCAAACAGTATAAACTATTTGGTTTATCATGTTTATCCTAATGGTAATCGCTAGTTGTATTGTAATTAATAGTAATTATCGGGAAGATTCTAAAGAGTCGAGGTGCAAAGGGTCTCCACACCAACTTCTCTAATTTTTCATATAAATTTCTATAGAATTCTTGTACAAATTCATTAACAGAGGTTGATAATAGGCTGAGTTTGCGAAGTAAAGTGTTAACGCATTCTTGATGCATGATAGTATTCAAACTAGTGAATAGGAAGAGGTTATTTCGTATATATGCACCAAAATATTCTATGAAATTCTTCCAGAATTTATCACTACAGTAGGAAAGGTTATTTAAGGTATGAAAATAATAATAGTTTATAGCATCTATTGCTTGTATAACTGCTTTTAGATTATTAAATAATACCAGATGTATTAAAGTTCAGCTATCTATATCAGTAACATATTCTAGCTTTACAATGTACTGAAACTGCACTAACCCTTTTAGTGATCGAAGATTACCTCATGCAGAAATTATTATTTGGGTCTTTTCTTTTCGAGAGATACATGAGGTTATTATATTTGAAGAATTTTGTGATTCTATATAATTTCGAATTTCTATAGCATGTTTCAGTTTTTTCCACTTATATTGGAGATGCTGATATACATCTCTTCTTGTGAGTAGTTCTTCTATCCCTAACTATTGTTCAAGAGAAAGCCACAATTGTTCATTTAGATCTTTTGTTTTGGACTTTACTTGGATAACATAATTGATTTTAATTATCTTATTATTAATAAGTGCTAGAAAATCAGGCAGGATCTCAGATAGCTTAACTCTGTTTACTAATATAGCTTCTTGAACTAATGTTTTTATTAATAATTTCTCTGCAAAAACTTTTTCTCAACTTTTAACTTCTTTTGACACTATGTGATCAGATAGGCTAAGCAGAACATTCTTCTACTCTTTTTCAATATAAAATATTTTATCTTGCGTATATAACCCCTGAGTTGCATGTTGGGTTTGATGCTAATAATTAATAATACAAAAGATAAAATTCATATTAAGCTTATTAATAGATTTGGATAAGTTTTTAGATTTATCCTCTTCTGTCTAATATTTTTGCGAACTGGACCAACCACCCTAACTAATTATTAGGTTATTAAAAAAATAACTATATATTTGTTGAACCACAAATATACTCAGTAGAGACCCTATTGCTTCTACTATAAAATGAAATTTTTTGCATATCTGAGTATATTCAATAATAGCTTGCAAAGGTCAACTGATCAATACAAAAACAATTCTAGCAGTGAGGAAAAAATTTAATAATTATAAATAATATATACCCAGTTCAGATCAAAAGTAATATCATTAATCATTAATGCTATGGTTAGTGCGATAAGTAAATTGTGGTCTATTGGTAGGGTCGAAATTTGTTCTTTCCCAAGTCTACATTTTTTATTATAACGAGTGTGACATGACAACTTTTTGATTAGTTTCTCTTAGAATATGTTAACAAGGTTAGAAATTTCATTTTTATTTTTACGCTTCTCAATAGATTCTTGCATTATTTATGAATTTAAAAAACGTTCTCGATATATTACTGACGAGTAGAAATTTTTAGCGATATATATAGCAAAGCTTACAATGTTATAAAAAATAAATTATGAGAATTTATGCTAGGAGGTGCTCTTTTTATTAGAAAATACAATTATAACTAAAGGTATAGTTACTCCTAATACGTGTTAATTTATAAATTTGCCAAATATTTTTATCACAGCATTATATGTTGCAAAACATAACTTGACGATTTAACACTTTGCAATTACAGAGTACATTTTCTAAAAAATAGTAATTCGTCAAAACAATAGTTAGCATATTGCTTTATTTAATATTATAATAGACTTTGTAATTTTCTAACAAATTGCTGTTTATCAAATTCAGCACCACAATTATTAGACACAGCAATTCAATCAACAATCGCATGTTTTCTATATTTGGGATTACATTAATAACTTGTTGAGACGTATTTGGCTATATGGAGTATAGTAATTATTTTACACGCTATATTTAAGTTGGATCTACAAATTTAGAATAACTTTGTTATTTATGCAATATAATCAAAATATGTTGATCAAATATCTAGCAGAAGTGTAAATACTGTACAAATATCTACAAACATAAATATGTGTTAATTTAGCACAACCATGTTGACAACTATTCAAAAATAATAGCTGTTTGTGACTTATTTCGCTATTGATCTATGCTAGAAAAAAATAAAGTACATATGTATTATGACCTAGGCCAAAATAAAAGCAGACGCATGGGACCGTTAAGTCATATAATAGTATAACAAAGCTAAAATAGCGATGTCATGTCACTTGATATTCAGTTCGAATTCTTGACCGGCTTTAATAATCAATAGACTACATTAAATTTTATGCAGTGTTAGCTTAATTTCTCAGTCGATTTTTGATTTATGATACTGCAATAAGAAAAGGTAAGGAACGTAAATTTTGAATAAATCGATTAGATGATTCGAGCATTTTTAAGATTATGTATGGTTTGAATAAAATATGGGTAAAGTTCAGAATCAGTTTCAAAATTTCAGTATGATACTTACTATTACAATCGATGCATGATACTGTATGTGGCTAAGGCTGATTTGGTACTATTGTGATGATATTCCTGATCACAACTTGTTTATTGATATATTAGTCTTAATATTTTGATAGTTTGTATAACATCAAAAGCGTAAATGGATGAAGTTAAATTATACTATCCATTTTGGGCTATACCCAGTTAGTATTGGCGCTATGATAATTTTCATGTAAGGTAAAAAAAAAATTGGATTTTTATATGATATAAATATATATAATTTACAAAAGATAATGAATTAGGACTTACGTCTATATCTAGTTGAAGAATTATGCAGTAGCTTTTCATCTTACTTGTACTCTGTTTCTGGTAAATCGTGTAGATGTTCAGTCAGCATACAATTTCCGAATTCACTATAAAAATGGTAATACAAATTCAGAATAAGATCTGTAGATATTCAAGAAATAAATATATGCATTATTTTAACATAACCACGTATATATTAAGGTAATTTAACATTAAAAAATAAAGTTTATATTGCATATTGATAAAACTTTAACACTACGTTAGTTATACAAAATCAGGTATGTATAAGGTTTTGTAATACTTTCTCACAAAATTATTTCTCATGGTCAATTTTTTATTAATAACGCTAACGAATAATACTTAGGATCTTTTTCTTGTTATATATGATACTGCAATAAGACAAGCATGAATAAGATTTAAAAATGCTATAAGAAAAAATAGTAGAATATTCTTTATTAGTAGCTTCATCCAAATTCATATGTCATGGAGACTTAGAATTTCCAGATCGATGATATCGTTAACTTTTTTACTTCATAGTACTGATTGTTGAATCTAAGGAGAGTTCAATTTACCTAAAAAAAACTACAAAATATATTCAGTATTTGGAACTTATGGCTGAGCAGAATTGCTTTATAGAGAAAAACTAGTATTAGATTTAGGTAACATAATTACTAATCATGTATTTTTCTTTCTAGCAGGTTCTCAGACCAAACGAATATGAAGTATAAAATAAGTAAGCTTCCACTCACAAGATAAGTTAGCAATAACATTATTTTTTGCTCATATATATTTTTATTTGATTCACTTACCTATTTTTAAAAGTAATATACCATTTAATAGAGACTAAGAAAACTGAATTTTTACTTACTATGATTTTTTTGTATTTAGATACAAAAAATGAGCACTAACAATAGTACTACTTCTAAGACTAACAATACCCCCAAGACTAATGATAACACCACTTCCAAGACCAATGATAGTAATATCCCCAAGACTAATGACTCCAATCCAGAAAGTGATCAAAAAAAGCTATCTGGTGTGGATATAATTGTTGATTATCAAATTCTATCTAGTTATTCAGGTATCAATCCTATAACATTTTCAAAAGTAATAAAACCTTGTAGTTACTATAGCTTTTGATTTTTTATTCATATTTGTATTATTTTATTTGTATATTGTCATTCTGACAAAAAATATTAAATAAAGAAGAGGGGTTCTGTGGCCTTTCCATATTTTATTTTTACGTGATTTTTGCAATGCAATTTGTGATTATTAATTAGTGAAAATAAAAGAGTTTTCTTATTAACCTATGCTTTTATAGTTACTATTTGGATTGAATTTTGATATTTATTTTTATAACAATAGAGACAATAAGTTTTTTCACTACAATATTCACCACTTTCCCACTTACCCTCTATAAAATTTCTTATATTCTCTTTTTTATGATCATTGTTGCATATAGGACAGAGTACAGATCTATTAAAATCAAAATAATTACTATATTTAAAACTATGTTTCAAAGTTAAATAAGGAAATCGTTCTAATACTATTTCAATAATATGTTGTTGCCTTTCTTCCAAGTCTTTAGGTAGAACAGAAATTGGTAATCGAGATTTTGATAGCATAGACTGAACATTTACTTGTAGTACAAATAAAGTTTTCTCTTCAAAAGATTCAGAAGGTTTAGAATCCATTCAAGGATCGAGACCAGTTTCTTTCTTGTATCTCTTATATAACTTGAAACGAATTTTGTCAGTTAAAACACTTGGTAATCTAGTAAATTTATTATTTCATTTCAAATATTTGGGAGTTAATATTTTATTGGACTTTGTCTGTATATTTATGTGTCATTTATATAATTATGTGTCTCTTTAATTAACAATATTTAACAAAAAAAAATAAATATGCCTCAGAGAGACATCTTAAAGACTTAAGCAAATTGTGTTAATATAAGACAAATTTCATGCCATTATCTCAATTTCAACTCTACACTGTTCACATTTAATATAATAGGAACCAATTTCATATTTACCTTCTATATCTTTATTGTCATCATGATCTAATTTGCATAAAGGATATAGTGTCTCATCAGTAATTCTGTAATAATCTATATTTTCACTATTACTATCTTTATATAAATTAGGATACTGTTCTAGTGTTTTATTACGAAAATAAGTACGGTCATGAGTTGGATTAGACGATGCACTTATCTTAGTCTCCAGTAAAGATTTGTCTTCCGCATTAGAGGTATGAGACAATGAGATAGGTGCAGTTGATATGCTTATCTCAGTTTTTGATGTATTTTCTTCAGACAAGATTTTATCATTAGTTTCAGAAATTTCAGTCATATGACTATACATCTCGGGGATGCAGAGTTTATATCCATTGAAATAATTTATAATATATTGAATTTGAGGGTTAGTAAGTTTTGATATCCCATTTGCACTATAAGATTTAACTCATTTGATATTTTCTATTTCTATGCCATCAAACAACTTATAAATTTTACAAGCTCTTCGAGTTTGTCTGCAGAAATTTTCACATGAGATGCCAGAAAGACAATTTCAGATTTAATTATAAATCTGAATTCTTGCTAAGCCATCCGCTCTTTTAGTATTCTTGCAATTAGATAAGATATCATAAACTCTTTTTTCAAAGCTTTTTGCATAATGATACCAACTTAAAATTTCTTCTTGCTTAGTGTAGATAGTATTCTTTTTAGCCTTCCTTGCATTTTAATACATACGGGCCAGTTCAATAGCTTCATTTTCAATGTTATCAAGTATACCCTGCTCTCTATTTCTGTTAGTAACTTCAATTGATTCTAAGTCAAATTCCAAACTCAACTCTTGTATAAATTTTTGCATCTCAATTCGGCTATCTTTCTGAATTGAATTGTTTGTAGTTATATTAGCAAGAGATATGGAATCATATAAATTCTCATTCATATGAAGGTGAATCCTAGAGTCGTATAGTTGATATTTAGTTATAATATTTTGACTACAGCTTGGATTTCTGTTTTTATTTTTTGTGCTATTGTCTTGTTACAATTCAGATATTTCAGTTTTCAGGAAATCTGGCTCTATTAAAATTGCATGAATTTGATTGTTCCCTGATAAGTCTTGGGTTTTATTTTCAAAGGACTCATGTAAAAGTTTTTTCTTTCCGTTTCTCTGTTTTATTTTATTACTAACATTTTTCTTATATACCCTTTCTACAAATTCAAGAGTCTCAGCTGAATCGTCATCAGCATTTGCTAGCATGTCAATGTCTTCTGGTAAAGAGGTTGTAGATATTTTAGATTCTGTTAAAGATTCAGATTGTGTTGAGCTATGTTCTACTTCAGACAAGAGATCAGAATTAATGTCTTTCTTCTCATCAGACTGTGAAATAACTTCAATAGGAGATGCAACATGTTCATCAGTATTAACTCTAGTTTGTAATTTGATTTCTAAAATATCGCATTTTAATTTTGCTACTTCAGCTTTTAGATTGGCATTCTCTTTATTGCTTTGCTCTAGTTTTACAAATCTGGTCTCGATTTCTTCTTTATCTTGTTTTAATTTCACATTCTCAGCTTTAACTTCGATTTTCTCAGCCTCAACCTTAGCGAACTTCTTTCTAAGTTCATTAATCTCGACTGCAAGCTTGGAATTTAATTCTCTTAATGAAGCAATTGTAGTTTGTAAATCTGCTATTGTTTAACATAAAATGTGGATGTATTCAAAATAAAAATATTATGTGTCCATTCTAATTTATAACAATTCCTGATCATATGTGAGTTAATATACATCGATAACAATATAATAAAATAAAATCTCGAAATACACATGCAAAATTAAATGTGATTATATATGCGAAATTAGCTACTAGGGCCAGCTTTATTTATATAGAAAAAAAATGCAAGATATTATATCTAATTATCTTAACTAGGTGTGGATACTGTCGAGCTTTCTTCTATATTCTGTTGTGATCTAGAAATTGGTGCGTGAATTGACAGAGATATGTTTATAATTTTTATGTTTCGAAAGGTATACACAAAATTGGTTACTATATCCGTATTAGCAAATTGCACTTGCATTTCGGCTAAACGTGGTAATACCTATGAATGTCAGCCTGGTATAAGAGTATTAAGAAACTCGAAAATATTGCTGTAACCAGCAAAAAACAATGTATATGTCAAGATAATGAAATCTTCTTTTTTGAGGTATGGTATGACAAAAAAATTGAGATTGTACTCTCTCAAAAAATACTAAAATTAAAGAGTTCGTTAATAAAGCTTAGATCTATAAACAAATAACTGTTATATGTGACTTTGATAGCTCATTTATACTGTACGACTTCTAATCCTTTATTTTTACTGATCTACAGCATTTGTCTGATATACAGTATATTATGTAATAGATAAATCATAATATATGTTTATTAAAAACTAGCAAAGTACATGTTAATCTTTCTTCTTACAAATTTTCCCATTAACCACATCTTTTGTGTGCTCTGTAGTTGGAGTTACAATATGTTGGATATAATCTTTCTAGGAGGTGTGCGATATTTCTCTTCATCAGAATTATTATGAAAAGTTTCAATATCAATATCATCTTTACGATTTATAATATCAAATGTTCGCAATATAATATTTTTCACGTAAAATATTTCTTTTAAAACTAGTGCAAGAGGTTTAGATTTTGTTAAATGAGCTGAAACTTCACAGACTTTTCTTCTTCGAATTCGGGTGACATACTCCTTGGAGAAGTCAGCTGTGATAACTTGCATTCTATTTCTACTCTGAAGCATCCCTACTACATGTAATTTTCTCACATTGTTTTCCTTCATGTTACACTCAATTGCAAGCTAGTTTAACATGTCTTTTAACATTTTACATATCTTTAATGAATCTGCAATAATTTTTGATTCACATTGTCCTTCCCAGTCACGTCCAGCTTCTATAGCACCGAATTCTAAGTGATCCTTATGTAATCTAAAAACTCCATCTCCTTTTCGACCAACCTTCTTTCTATCACTTGTCATTCTTTCAACTTTTTTCCTGTCACTTGATGCAAAACTCATCCCTTCACTACGAATTAAATCAATGTTTACATTGTAGAAAGCAGGATCAATAAGGTGACTCCAGATATTCATCTCATACCAACCTTCCAATTTCAAAGAGTTGAAAAGATTTTTATTTACTTCCCATAAGGGTAGCATTCCTTAGTAAATACGATTAACAAAATCTAGATCAAAGTGAAATTTTCGATCATATTTATATCTATTTTGTATGAATAGTTTAAAAAGAATTTCTTGTAATTTTTCAACATCATCAACTATGTATTTTTTTAATAATTCCTTAAGAGAATATTCAAGTTCTAGCCTATCATCAACTTCTGAGTTGTTAATTTCTTTCTATTCCTCTTTAGAAAAAAGTAATTTTATGTGCGCATCACCTTTATTAACTATGAATAAGTATAAATAAGATTCAAATTCCAACTCTCACGCAAATTCATATATAACCACTTTCACTCTACGTCTACTCCTTAGTGTTCATATGTGATCAGGCTTCATTTTCAAGTATTCTTCTTTGAACTTTTTTAAATCAAACTTGATTGGTGTTTCTTGTTCAGTATAATTGTAAATTCTAGAAGTGGCAGATCTAGAACTACTGTTCGATTTTATCTAAATTGTGAAAAGAATGATCATATTAGTAAATTAATGTTTGAAGTAGTAATAAGCTTTGGAGTTCTATCTTTTTAGATTTCTCCTCATACAAGTCATAACTGCCATGTTTCCTGTTCTCATCTTGTTTTTCTTCACTTTCTAGTATAATATTTTTACTAGATATGTTTTGTTTTTGACTAAATTCTACAATATTTTTAGTTATTTGATGATAGATCTTCATTGTCAATTCCACATAGTTTCGAGTTTGGGTAACCTATAATGTTAATATATAGATATAGTTGAAATAACATTGTAAGAAAATATTAAAAGAAGTATGGAAAAATGAATAAGTATCTTGATACATTCTATTTTTGCTAATTCAATAGCTTTCTCGTTTTTAATAAGCTCTAGTTGTTGTTCTGTTTGATAATGATTTGCAACTCACTGAAAGTATTCTGTTATAGTTTTTGAAGACTTCCAACTCTTTTATATAAGCAAAAGAATATAATGAGTAAAAAATGATTTAAGCTTTTTCCACGATAATATATAAACTCATTCTCTAAAAAGTACACAAG